GCCATTAGCCATATGGTACTGTTGAAAGAGGGCCTCTGTGGCTGAGTAACAGTTGTACGTTATGTGGTTTATAAAATAATTATGCAATGGCAAGCAACTCTTTTATAATTACTGGCTGTTTTGAAATATTTCTGTTAATCTAAAAGCATTTACCATGTTGAAGGATGCACAGTGTTTTTGCTGCCCATATCTGTTACGTGTGGTAGATAAGAAGTGAGCTACTATATTGAAGACTGTGGTAAATTGAGAGTATATTACTTCAGTATCGATCGATCGATCGATCGATCGATCGATCTATCTATCTATCTATCTAATCAATATAGACACACATACAGAAGGGAGCGTATGTCTTCTGCTGGTATCACCACCTGTCAGGAAACTACCAAATGTTTATCTCCATTCATCAGTAGATGGATGCAAAATTGAGAGCTCATGATTATAAAATTCTTGCCGCTGTTATATGGTGGAAGCTGTTGAGAGGTTATGCCAACTGGTGAAGGAAAATGAAGCTTCAGGAATTAGTGTATTAAGGCATTTCCTTAGGCCTTGTTTTATTGCACACAAAACAGTCGGCAAAACAACTGAAAACACACTGGACAAAAGGTTCCCAGAGGCTTTCTCCATGTTAACCTGCCAAGGGAGAAGAGGGCACACCTTTCCCTTTCCATCCAGCTGCCTTTCCTTTTAAACTCTGCCCCAAGCAGTCATGTGAGAGACTAGATACTGTTAACTCTTTGCACATTGCAGCACCCTTCTTTGTCATGCATGAACAGGAAGCCATGTGACTCTGTCCATGTTAGGCTATCTCTTCATCTCCAAAAAAAAGCTACCATTCATCAAATTGCTCAGGGGCATTCTTTTCTTCTGGCAGATGGAGTATTTAGTTATTGAAATGCAGTGGTTTGCTTGGGATCATACTAGACAGGCAAGTCACTGTGAAATACACAACTGTCAATACACAAGGCCAGATTCTGATTTCAGTTTTCTAGATTTACATCAGCTCAACTGAGTTCAGAATATAGTTCATCCTGGGAGCATCTGTTTAGATGCAGAAATAGAGGTACAATAACGATAGCACTGTGACATGTAAGTCAGTGAAATTCCTACTGTATGATTGTGTTATCCCTAACATATGATTGCAGTATAACTGCTTGCTATTCATGTAGAGAGATACACAGACCGAATAAAATGCTAAACAAGTAAATACCTTACCCTGAATAATGGTTTCATGGATTACAATGGGTTCTGTTTTAGTCTGCTTTAAAACATACATAAATCATATACAGTCTTTTAAAAATAATATAGGAATACTTCAGCTCTAGACTGATAATCATTATATTCAGTTTCCATTTTTATCTGTATCGGTATTGATAATGGTAGCTCTGCTAGACAGATATTTCAGTGTGCCTCAGTCCTGAGCTAAACCGCTTTCATCATAGTTCATTCTTCATAGCCATTCAGTCCTTGGTCCCTCTGCTAAGATTACCAATAACTGGTGGTTGTTTGTGGGATGAGGATACTTTCCAAAAGAAACATGTCAGAGACCATTTCACATAACACAGGTTACCAAAACAGAGGGCTAAGATTTTTAATAACAATTGGGGCTGGATTTGAATAACCTAGTGGTGAACCCATCCATAGAGCCTGAGGTATTGTAACTTCTCTTTGGAAAGTCTCTTGGTATGGATGTGTACTTGCATACATGTAAAGCCAGGAAGGTTGGTTTTATTTAATTTTTTTAGCTAGATGTTTAGATCTTTTAGCTACGCAGTGGATGTGTCTACACTGGTGCGATCTTGCGCAAAAGCAGCCGCTCTTGCGCAAAAACTTGCTGCCTGTCTACACTGGCTGCGTGTTCTTGCGCAAGTAAACTGATGTTCTACTGTATGAAATCAGGACTTCTTGCACCAGAACTCTGATGCTCACACTCAGGAATAAGCCCTTTTGTGCAACTGTTCTTGCTCAAGAGGCCAGCGTAGACAGGCAACATGAATTTATTGCGCAAGAAAGCCCTATGGTTAAAATGGCCATCAGAGCTTTCTTGCACAAGAGAGCGTCTACACTGGCAAGGATGCTCTTGCGCAAAAGCACATCTCTTGCTCAAAAACACATGCCAGTGTAGACTCTCTCTTCTGGAAGAGTTCTTGCATAAGAACCTGCCAGTGTAGACGTAGCCTTAGGGAAAAATCATTGATCCTAGGAGACAGTAGCATGCAGGGCAGGTGGAGAAGGTGTGAATTGCTCTATTGGTGATACCTGTAGACATTTTCAAAAGGCACTATTGCTCTCCTGGCGCTGAGAAAAATCCACAGGGAACCTGTTCTTTTTACATCTTCTAAAATGCAGCCAGAGCTACCCACAGCATCATTCTACTGGGGTGAGGGAACAGGTTAGAGTTGGCCCCACTCCTTCATAGACATTCACATTCCTATCCCATCATATGCTACAATCTTCAGATCCCTGGGGTCTGGCCTCTTCATGGGCACTACCTGGCCTCTTCATGGGTGTGCTAGGATGTTTTTTTGAACCTTCTAGCATACCCATAACTTGATATGCGATATTACAGATAAAATATGATTTATATTATATAGTTCAGGTATATAATTATTCGTTCTCTAATACAGCACATATCTTGTTTTAGTATTCTTACTAATACAAAGTCTCTGAGATCTTAGTTTTCTTCTTTGGAGAAGCTATTGGTTTGCTGCTTCTCCATTGCGGGTTATCTAGTGGATGTGCTATGTTGGTTGTTATATCATATACGTGACCTCTTAAGTTTTCATAGTATGAAAATAGAGCAGTTTAATTAATTGTGCTTACAATAAAAGTAAACACACTAGAGCTAACCTTTAACTCATGAAGAAATAATATTCTGACAATAATGCCATGCATTATTGCAAAAGTACTATAGTTTCATATTTGCTCATCATGAAGATGGCAATGTTAGAAATTAAACTGTCAGTCAATGAGTCCTGGTCTACACTAGGACTTTATTTCAAAATAACTCCCCCCAAAGTCGAATAATATAAGCAGAGCATCCACTCTACCAAGCCCGTTATTTTGAAATAATAACTGGCTGCGGAATTAGAAAACTGTACTCCTGATTTTCATCAGGAGTAACACTAATTCCAAAATGCTTATTTCAAAATAATGGTAGTGTGGACGCTCCAGTGCTGCTATTTTGAAATAATTACTTCCCAGAGTAATTCAAACTAATTACTCCCCAGTGTTTCCTGGGGTTTTAAGACTGGGGTAGCATGTCCACATTAACAGAGCTTGTCTTGAACTAATTTTGAGGCTTCCCTGTACAGGCAGTTCCTGACTTACACGGATCCGACTTATGTCGGATCCGCACTTACAAACGGGGCTTTTCTCGCCCCGTAGCTCGCGGGCGGCGGGACCGCCCAGAGCGCAGTGGTCCCGCCACCTTGTCCTCCGGGGCAAGAAAAGCTGCTCTGGGACTCCCCTCCAGCACAGCAGGGAGACAGGAGCAAAGCCGCAGAGACGGGGGACTCCGCCGCCTGTGCGGCTTTTCTCCGGGGCAAAGGAGCAAAGCCGCACGGGCAGCGGGGTCCCGCCGCCTGTGCGGCTTTGCTCGGGTCTCCCTGCTGTGCTGGGAGGGAGTCCTGTGGGGACCTACCCGGCAGCGCCCCAGCTGTTCTGTTCCAGGAGTCCAGATTCAGCCGCTGTTGAAACTGATCAGCGGCTGATTCCAGGAAGCCGGGGGCAGAGCAACTCTGCCTAGGGCTTCCTGTAGTCAGCCGCTGATCAGTTTCAGCAGCGGCTGAATCTGGAGACAGTTCCAACTTACATACAAATTCAACTTAAGAACAAACCTATAGTCCCTATCTTGTACGTAACCCGGGGACTGCCTGTAGTGTTGACATGTAAGTTTGAATTCCATCAGGAGTGAAATCGAATTTACTAATTTCAAAATAGTTTCCTAGTGTAGACTTACCGAGAGATTTTTACTGAGTACTTAGTGCATTCAAATAACATTATATAACCCATGTTCTGTATGACATATTGCTGTGAGATATTTACCAAATTCAGAGGAAGTTCTTGATAGATATTTTTAAATATCAGTGGGGAAAAAGCAGAAGGCTGCAAAACAAAATACAGAAAATATGTCCATGTGCATATGTATATGTATATTTATAATAGTAATATGTAGAAATAATATAACATCACCTGAGTAAAGTCTGGTATGCTTTACTACTCTAAAGATAACATGTATTTCTAAGTGTGTGTGTGTACACACAAACGCATGCATACATACATACATACATATTTTCAGACCTTACCATATGCAACATTTACCAGTTAAAATACTATGCATGATTTAACGTATTTTTCTTCCAAGAAAATATATGTGATTGTTCATTGATGAAAGCAGCTGGTATTGACTACTGAACCAGTTATTTTATTTTATCTGGTATTGCTAGCAAAGATACCACTTTCATTTTTGTCAGTATTTGTAGTGTAAATGAGGAGCAACCTATCGTAAAATGATGCTACTGAGATCAAAGGAAGCAATCCCTACTAACACGCTAAAATCATTCTGGGGAAATGTTTTTGATTATGGTTAATGATGTAATCAAATCAGAAAACAGCCTAGAAGTTGGAACTGCAGCAGGATTACAGCTTGCCCATTACAGAGCACCTAATCGACAGTAATATGTCAAAAATGGTGTGGAAATATAAAAACAAGATGCTAGTTAAATGTTTACTTTTAATAGCATGTGAGACTGAATAGCTTTGATTAGAATACTTATGCATACTTACCTAGAAGAAAATTAGTGAATGACAGAATTTAGTTAAAAAAACCCCGACTAAAAAGGCAAAGTTAGAGAGGAAAGGATCAAAAGGGTCATTTTTTTAACATCTTTGATTTCATTCTTTAAAGACCAATTACTTTTCTGTCCCCTGTGGGAGAAAAAACATTCTTCTTCTTAATGGCAGAATCATTCTAAGACTTCTCTGATTCATTTTATATTTAGCAGATTACAGTTTTGGAGTCATCAGTAGGAGAGAACCCAGCAAACTGACAGACCTGAAATCATGTCCTTTGATTGTAATTGACAGGAAAAGCGTTTAAGGTAAAGAAAAAAAATATTTTATTCATCTTTGATTACACTGTGATGTGATTTGGTGACATAATACAGCTGTGAACTGAGGCAAAAAAGGCAATAATTCCTACTTGAGGCTTTGACATGATGTAGCCCTTTAGTCTTCTTCAAACCAATGCCTCCAGCTACAATAGTCGCCTTGATGGAGTCTAGACAAATAGATATACAGACTGTTACAATTTAAAAGGCAAACAGCTTTAAAATAACATTTCTCAAGGCCATGTATTTCAGTACTAAATAGCTACCCTGCTATACATTTTTTCTCTACTAAAATTAAACAGAGTTCATCTATATTTTTGTAAAAAATCCAAGATTAGGTAAAAATATTTCACTTCCAAAGGGCCTTACCAGCTATTATTTTTCAAACATAAGTAATTTGGCCACAAGAGTCTTTTTCCATTGGCCGTTAAAATATATTTTAGCTAATCCACATGCAGCAGGGCTTTATTTTAAATATTTTATTTGCCTAAAAGATCTTAAGAACTTTTGAAATGTTTTTCTTTGTATCATCTTGCTTTCAAAATGTGACCTTTCCACAGCTGATAACTTATAGTTTAGAGTTAGATTTTCAAAAACACCTACATGTTATTGGGATCCTAAGTTCCTGGGGATATTTTGAAAATCTTTTTTTAAATGTGATACAGTACATGTGTAAAGACCATGTCAGATTAGTGTCATGTTCTACTGCAGGTATCAACAATGCAATGCTTCTGTTTTCCATGCCAGTAAGTTTAGTATGCTTTACCTCAGTAATGGAATGCTTTAATTCTACAATATATCTTCAGCAATAAGTATAAGTTCGCATGCTTAATAATTATCAGGTTTGTTAATGACCTCCCTTTACTTCCATTCCAATGAGAAAGTGTTCTGATATGATCATAGATATTTTGCATTAAGTGGAGTGTTAACACAGAGATTTGTTAGGCTTCGGCACCTCACCTAATGAATAAAACATATTTTATGAGACACTGTCAAGATTTCAGAAGCTGTGTTAAAGAAATCTGAAAAACAAATGATCTGTTGATGAAGCTGCAAATTCAGTGGTTCTAACAGGAGCTAAAGATTCTCATTCAAAACAATTCACAATTATTTTTTCTAAAAATATATTAAAAGACATTAGAAAGGCCTCGGTGTTAGCTGACCAGAATGACTGGATGTGGTTAACTAAATAATGTAGCTTCAAACATTTATATGCAGTAGCAAATTATTTCATAAGGAGAACAAAATGGAGTCAGTCAGCATCTTGAGTGACTCTAAACATGCACTGTTTCATGTCCATGTTCTTTTGTTTATTTAGAGCTTTGAAAAGAGCAGAAATAAGCAGTCCTGTAGACTTCAGTTCTTTATGTATAGAACAGGTATGTCATGTGCAGAAGCAACAGCAGAGCATGTTTCCCTTCTATGTACCTCATTTTGCCTGGACTAAAGTAGTCATTTCTAGGAATAAGAGAGCAGTTCAGTCTCCATGCCCTTTCAATCCTAGCCTCTGCTGAGATTGCTGGGAGTGTTACAAATTAATGCTAACAGCATAGGCGGGATGGAACAAACACTATCGTCTCAATTTGCTTAGTCCATCAAAGTGGTATCAGAATAAGCTTTTGACTGGATGTGAACCTTTAAAGGCTCCGTAAATCCACCACCCAGTCTCCAGATCCTTACACTTATGGTCAATAAGAAAGCATGTCTCCTCTTCAATGATATCATTAGAATCTATCCATTTTTTATAACATTATGAGCTCAGAACTTCTAATACATAGCACTGCCCGGACATCTACTACCACCACCAAAAAAAGCAATGAAAAAATTTAACCAAAAGCCAATCTCTTCTGAATAAACCTGCCACAATTACACAGATATAATCATTCACCAAGCATTGGCCAAATTAGTTTGCAGTGAGGGGATGTTCTGCAATATGATGGATCTGCCTCTTGGCAAAATCCTGAGAAGCGTACCTTTACCAGACTGCAATTAAAAAAAATTATATAAAAATAGGACTTTTAGTGTGGCACATTGAGGAATAAACAATAAGTGTAATGGGATGAGATTCAGAAAAGGAAAATTTAGATCATAATTCCTGGCAATGAGGTATATGGGGCCATAAATATGGACAAACAATATGAACAAAATACTAAACAAAGGTATTTTAAGGGCAATCCTGCATTGGATGGGAGATGGATTGGATGATCTAAAAGGTCTTTGCTGACTCTAACTTCTATCACTTACCCATAATTAACACACATGCTATTTTTAGCTCAGTGTAAACTATTACTATTATTAACAATACAGTGAATTTGTTAGTAATTAGCTCTGATTTTATGGAACAAAATTTGAAATAGATGTCTGTGGAGAACTGGGAAATATCTGTATTACTTCTATGAATATGATTTATATCTCTGTTTATATTATGGATTACTTATGCAGTTTGATTAAAAGGGTTAAAACAACTGAGCAGGAAAGACAAAACAGGGACACAGAGAGGAGTCCTTGGGGAAACAATGGGGAAGTTGTTTATTGGGGAACCCCCTCCCCCTCCTAGCTCCATCTAAGTTTAGAATGGTTTATTCTTGCCAAGGCTAAGCCCAGGATCAAAGAAAGAGGCTAAACCATTTCAGGGTCTGGGGCCTAGAAAAGGGAGAGTACTTAGATGAGCTAAGGAGGTCTTGCCTGGGAATGTCCATAGAATCTGACAGACATACATGGAGATACGCAGAAACAAAAGAGCATCTTGCAAATGGGATATTGTGCTTCTCTCAGCCACAGATGAAGGTGGTTATCTGGATGGAAACTAACTTACAAATGTTTGTAAGTAAAGATTAACATGCAAGTTAAAGGGAACTCTGCCTATAGGACTGAAATACATAAACTCTTTACTCTGTGTGCTATGTGCTTGTGGATACCCCCCCTCCCCCCCGCCCACATTTTAAAGAAGCTATTTTTGGAAAAACCTTAGAGGTGCCAAACTTAGCTGAGCCTGGTAGGTTAACATGATTGGTAAGAAAGGAGGCTGAAGCCCAGAGATCCAGTCTAAGACAGAGAGAGATGCAGGAAGCCAGGTCTAACATTTGAGGGGGGTTCAAAAGGACAAAAAGTGGTCTAAATCACAACTTTTTGGTAACTGACTAGCTCTTGCATACAAACCTTCTCTTGGCATGTGCAAGTGGCATGGGGTTATCTAAGCTGGGCACACATCTGTGCATGCATATGAGTTTTATATATAGAAACAGGTGCAAACCCCAAATTGGTGGGAGCATTTCTAGGACCCTTTCCTACTATAAAATAAAATATAACAAAATGAAACACATAAATAAAAGTTAAACCAAACCATTATTTCTGAAGTGAGCTTGATGAGAGTATAAAACAGATTTGATGTATTGTACAATGTGAAATATTTATTTATTTTAAATTTCAAATGTATATGCCACATCCAGAAAAGATTGGCATTCTATGTTAGGTTGAAAAAAAAGTTAGGACAATAAGAATTCTGTGTAAATAATGCATATTTAATGGCTGGTATCTAGTTTGCTGTTCACACAGAGCTAGATTCTGAAATCCATACTCGTGTTGCTTTGTACCTTAGGTAGCAGGTAGGCTCACTGATTTCAATTTATACAAAGAAGAAGGTGCTACTAATTTTGAGTAAGGGTGACACAAACTATCCCTATGCTGTCATTTACTCCACAAGATTAGTCATGTTCATAAGTGAACTTCCATTCCAAAAATATGGGCTTAGGTTTGTTATTTTACATTACATTGCAATGATATTGGGCTTATGAATCATAACCAAGTACTGTAATAGTAGATAAACAATATACCAGCATATTTTCCAGTAAATGCACTTTTCACACTCAGTTCTATTGCCATTACATGCACAGTATAAACATTTTTTAAAAAAATATATATTTCAGGAAATGAAAGGTAAAGTTATGGTTACAGAAACATTATCCCTAAAATTACCATTTGAATGATAAGCAATTTTGGGCATAATTATAGTGCACACTCTGCCTTCAATGCATTCTGATATATGGATAATTACTCCTGGTAATATGCGTTAGTTAGATTTTATAACCACAATAACAATTTATTGCAAAATTAATTCCTTGGCACAATTTAACATTTATTGATGTGAAGTCAAAGTGAATTGATTTTATTGCAGACCACTTGTGATACACTTTCCCTATGCTCATTCCTTAATTGGTTATTATAGGTCATTTTGGTATTTAGTTTTAAAAATAAATTAATTTGATTCCAAGGTTCATTTAGTAAAAATGGCAAGATATTTACAGCTCATGTGGTTTTATTTAAATAAAAAATGGTAAGGTAATGCAATCATCTTTGGTTATAAAGTGATGGATGAATTGAAAACATTTTTGAATCAGGTCAATGGTAGTGATGATTAGTGCATTGTTAATCAAGTTGCTGAGATTGCTATCAAAAGCTTTATCTCTTTCACTCAGACTGGTGAGAGGATCATGAATATTAAAGAGATTCAAATGGATCTGCACTCATGTAATATGGAGCACTACAAATGAAAAGGCTAAATGAACCCAGACTGTGACTTTATGTACTGATATATCTTTTAACTAAAGAGCAATGCCTAATCAATTTCCTTGCTTATATTAGACTACATATGTCGAAAGCACACAGAAATAAAGTTTTTCATATACCATTTGTATCTTATGGTACCATATGTATCTTATGGGTTAAGTATTTATTTAGAGCCCTATCAACATAACAAAAATAGATTGAGAAATAGTTCCTCTAAGATAGAAGGCAGTAGATACTGTAGGCCAGATTTTTATCACAGTTACACCAGGACAAATGCAAAGTAATTTTCTTGAAATCAAGGGCTTCAAGTCCTAGATGTTACTATGATTTTGCACCTCTTTAACTGAGATCAGAATCTTACTCAATATATATGCATATGCCAATATAGAGTATAGAGGTGATATAGTAAATGATGTATATAACCC